AAATTCCTACAACTCTACAATCACCCAAAGATAGATAAAGAAGAAATAGAACACCTAAACAGACCAATTACAAGCAGCGAAATTGAAATGGTAATAAAAAACCACCCCAAAAACAAAAGCCCAGGACCTGATGGATTTACAAATGAATTCTACCAAACATTCAGAGAAGAATTAGTGCCTATACTTCACAAACTCTTCCAAAAAATTGAGAAGGAAGGGACAATACCAAACACGTTCTATGAAGCCAAATTTACACTAATAACAAAACCGAACAAGGACAACACAAAAAAGGAAAACTACAGGCCAATCTCCCTAATGAACACTGATGCAAAAATCCTCAATAAAATTTTAGCTATCAGAATCCAACAATGTATCCATAAGATAATTCACCACGACCAAGTAGGATTCATTCCAGGGACACAAGGATGGTTTAACATCCGAAAATCAATCAACGTTATCCAACACATCAACAAAAAAGAAATATAAAAACCATATGATAATATCAATAGATGCTGAGAAAGCTTTCGACAAAGTGCAACACCCATTCATGATAAAAGCCCTTGATATTCTTGGGATACAAGGAACATACCTCAACATCATAAAGGCCATATATGACAAGCCAACAGGCAGTATCATTCTCAATGGTGAAAAGCTGAAAGCAATTCTATTAAGATCTGGAACAAGACAAGGATGTCCATTCTCACCACTGCTTTTCAATATAATACTGGAAGTCCTAGCCAGAGCAATAAGACAAGAGAAAGTCATCCAAGGAATCCAAATAGGAAAAGAAGAAGTCAAACTATCACTATTTGCAGATGATATGATAATATACATAGAGAACCCCAAAAACTCCACAGAAAAACTAATTCAACTCATCAATCAGTTCAGTAAAGTGGCAGGATACAAAATCAACACGCAAATGTCAGTAGCCTTCCTATACCCAAACAATAAATCTGAAGAAGAAGAAATAAAAAAAAAAATCCCTTTTTTTATTGAAAGAAAAAAATCAAATATTTGGGAATAAATCTAACAAAAGAGGTAAAGGACCTATACAAAGAAAACTATAAAACACTGTTAAAAGAAATAGAAGAAGACACAAAGAAATGGAAAGACATCCCCTGCTCATGGATTGGAAGAATAAACATTATTAAAATGGCCATCCTCCCAAAAGCAATATACAGATTCAATGCTATTCCAATAAAAATTGCAATGTCATTCTTCAAAGAAATAGAACAATTATTGATGAAATTCATATGGAATCACAAAAAACCCTGAATAGCCATAGCTCTCCTGAAAAAAAAAAGAAGGGAATGGAGGCATCACACTCCCAGACTTCAAACTCTACTACAAAGCCATAATCATCAAAACTGCATGGTATTGGAACAAGAACAGACATACAGACCAATGGAATCGAATAGAAAATCCAGAAATAAACCCACAGATTTATGGTCAACTAATCTTTGACAAAGGAGCAAAGACTATGCATTGGAGCAAAGAAAGTTTGGGTTGCTACATGCAAAAGAATGAAGCTTGACCACTACCTCACACCGTACACAAAAATCAACTCAAAATGGATTAAAGAACTAGACATAAGACCTGAAACCATAAAATACATAGAAGGAAATATAGGCGAAACACTACGGGATTTGCACATCAAAGACATCTTTACAGACACATCACCCAAAGCAGTGATAGTGAAGGCAAAGATAAACAGCTGGGACTACATCAAATTAAAGAGCTTCTGCACAGCAAAAGAGACAATAACAAAAACAAAGAGAAACCCCACCAACTGGGAGAACATTTTTGCACACAACACTAATGATAAAGGACTGATCACAAAAATCTGCAAAGAGCTGATGAGACTCAACAACAACAAAGAAAATAATCCAGTCAAAAAATGGGCAGAAGAGCTAAAAAGAAACTTCTCTGAAGAGGAAATGCAAATGGCCAACAGGCATATGAAAAAATGTTCAACATCACTTGTCATCAGGGAAATGCAAATCAAAACTACCATGAGATACCATCTTACACCAGTGAGAATGGCACATATTAAAAAAACTAGCAACAACAAATGTTGGCGAGGATGTGGAGAAAAAGGAACTCTTCTGCACTGTTGGTGGGAGTGCAAACTGGTCCAACCACTGTGGAGAGCTGTGTGGAGATTTCTGGACCTACTAAACATAGAGCTTCCATATGATCCAGCAATTCCACTCCTAGGTATTTACCCAAAGGACACAGAAACATCAATTCCAAAGAACACCTGCACCCCTATGTTTTTTTTTTTAAATAATAAATTTTATTTTTATATTCCCCCATACAATTGCAAACGCCCCATTCTGACCCCAATCCCTCCCCTCCCGCCCCCCACCCCCCAAAAAGTGTCTCTGGTTCGTAGTTTTTTGTTGATATTGATTTTCACTTTCTTATAGTTATTCGTTTTCCTGGTCCCTTATTTAAGTTTTCTAGATTCCTGCTATGAGTGAGACCATCCGGTATTTTTCTTTTTCTTTTTGGCTTATTTCGCTGAGCATGATCCCTTCCAGCGCCATCCATGTTGCTGCAATTTGCATGTGTTTATCTTTTTTGAATGCTGAGTAATATTCCATGGTATATATGTACCACATCTTCTTGATCCAGTCATCTATTTTTGGGCATTTGGGTTTTTTCCAAAGCTTAGCAATTGTAAACAGTGCTGCTATAAACAGCTGCTATAAACAGTGCTGCTCTTTGGAGTGAGGCATCAGGACAGGGGGAACCTAGGGAGTCAGGCCCCCTCAACAGGAACACATGAGAGGAACAGGCCCCAAGCCACTGGGGCAACACCACGGAGGACACAGGCAGCAGCTCAGAGGCATGGAAGCCCCCCCTCCAAGCCCAGATAGCCCAAGCCCCCATCTCTTCCCAGCCCTGCTACACCACAGTCACAGCCCAGGGAAAAGCACCCCACACTATGGGCTTGGGTATGAGGCCTGGCCTCACCACAGCTCGGGGCTTAGGGGAGCCAGTTCTGCACCTGCATTTGTGCTTGAGAACACCATGTAGCCCCACATGGGCCACCGCAGACAGCACACCCTCTTAAGAGGGGTGGTGGTATGGGCTGCAGCTCAGGCTCCAGCAGGTTAGTACAACACAAGGCCCCTTTGCTCCATTCCAGGCAGGAGCCCATGGCTCACTTAGTATTGATGAGGGGCCCCACACATGGGGCACAGTGTAGGCACAACCCACTGCACCCGCAACCAGGTCTTGGGGAGCCTGCAGGCAACATGGAGAGCTTTCCCCCAGTGCTGCTCCCAGACCAAAGCACTCACCCATAGCCCCCGTGGCCTCTCAGAGCCACGTGGACCACGCTTGCCACGGTGTTTGTTCCCCAAGAATAAGCTGAAGAAGCAGAAGAAGCAGAAGAAGAAGTAATTGAAAAAGCAGAAAATGCAGAAGAAACAGAAGAAGATGAAGAAGAAGGAGATGTAGAACTACAAGAAGAAAAGAAGAACATCAAGAAGCAGAACAACAAGAAGAAACAGAAGAATAAGCCGAAAAAGCAGAAATAACAGAAGAGTAATGGAGGAGGAGGAGGAGGAGGAGGAGGAGGAGGGGGGGGGGTGGAGGAGGAGGAGGAGGAGGAGAGGAGGAGGAGGAGGAGAGGAGGAGGAGGAGGAGGAGGAGGAGGAGGAACCCACAGCCTGAGGGCCAAAAAGACTGACCCCAAGCACAAGACTCACCTCAGGTCCCCCTACAGCTTGAGTGCTCGGTGAACATCAGTTGTATAACACAAGGGCCCTCTTCACTGCATCCCAGGTGGATAGTGGCCTTGGGAGGGAGCCCAGAGACCCTGGCACTGTGTAAGCCAAGAGCCAGGTGGTGGCCAGGGCAGCACAGAGTATGGCCAGAGAAGACCAAGACAAGAAAGGTCACAGAGGCCCGGAGGGCCCAACTCTGAGGCTGTATATGCACAGGGGGGTCAGCTCATGACATTGGCAACTGCATGACTGACCCTCTAGGAGGGGAGGGCAAGCTCCCTGACGAGCCACACCACTGAGGTGTGCAGCTGTGTAGATTGGGGGTTTTTATTTGGATTGTGTATATTGGGGGTTTTTATTTGGATAATTTCGAATAATTTTACTGTAAATAAAGTGTTATTGAACATTGTTACACATAAAGTTTTATTGGAATTTGAAAACATTTCCTTAGGTCATTTCCAAAATTAAAATTACTATTTCCATTGAAAATGTATTTTAGGGCCTCCCCAGTGGCGCAGCAGGTTGAGCGCAGCCTGTCGAGCTGTACGCAGACTCCGCAGCGCTGGGTAGATCCCACAGGCCTCGGAGCAGCCCACATGGCGCGCAGACCCCTCCTGTCTCCCCGCTGCGCCCCTCATCAGTGTCTTTCAGTCAGTCTGTCTGTTCTGCCCCCAACTCTGTCTCTGGTGAATCCTCACAAACACAACCCCCATGTCTGGCTTACAACCCAGTTCTTGAGTGCATAAATAAATCTTAAAAGATTATTTATGCACTCAAGAACTGGGGTACAGGCCAGAGATGTGGGGGGTGAGAGGATTCACCAGAGTGGGGAACAGAACAGGCAGACTGACTGAAATGCACTGCTGAAGGGAGCAGCGGGCGTGATACGAGAGGTCTGCTGTGCCATGTGGAACCCTCTCTGGCCAGCCAGGATTGAACCAGCACTGCAGAGGCTGCAGACAGCTTCACAGTGCTGCGCTCAACTGCCTACGCCACCAGGGGAGGCCCTGTTTTAAATACAATTCTTAACACACCTTGCTTTATTTGCATTTAGAGTTAGGACCTTCTACCTTTTGATTTTTAGATTGTAAGAGGTTATGGAAAAATTTCATCTTTATTTATCCCACAGGCCCAGAGGTGATCGTTTTCCAAAGTCCGAGCCCTGAGCCATTGGGCGACAGAGTACCCATGGCCCCAGCAGGGGCACATTTGCAACTTGAAGCAAGCAGGGAGTAGAGAAGCAGGAGACTTCTAAGAGCTCACCTGGTCATCTGGGGGGTACAAGTCAGGCTCCTGGCCAGTCACTCCCTGAAACCTTTAGTCCACCCCCAGGCCTTGTCCCAACATAACTCCAGGTAATGAGCAGGTAGGTCACAGTGGGCTGGGGCAGGCAGGCTGGGGCAGAAGGCACAGGCGGGTCTGTTGCACACTTCGGGACTCCCAGCCTTTCACCGACAGTGTCCGTCGCAGCCAGACCCTAAAATATCCACAAGTCTTTAAAACAACAAACAAGGTTGCTTGAATTTCTGGGAAAGATTTTTTTTAATCGTTGTTAAAAATCCTCTTACCTGAAGCTGACATAAAAGCAAGGCATGGGGCCTCTCTGATGGCGCAGGGGTTAAGCACAGCACTGCGAAGCCATCTGCAGCCTCTGCTGCACGAGTTCCATCTGATGGAGGGCAAGAATGGAAAGACTGGAAAGGGAGGCCTCACATGACTAAAACCTGACTCACGCAAGGAGGTGGGGGACGAGGGGAATAACAGGACCATTAACCCAGCTGTGGAGGTTGGACCCTTAGGTGCCAGTGCCTTGTCACAAGGCAGGAGACCCAAGCAGGATCCAAAGCTCTAGGGAGTGGTGCACAGGCTTGAGGGGAAGGATATGGAGATTGGGCCCACCCTGGAATCTCTGGTCCCTTTCTAGTGTTGCCTGTTACCCGACATCAGCAACAAGCAGCCATTCCACATAGGAGTGACCCTCCCAAACAGAAAAGGACTGTATTAGGGCAGTCTCTGCACGGGCTCAGGGCAGCCGTCCATCTGTCCACCCGTGACTACACAGGTGCCTCTTCTCACCAACTCTCTCCCTCTGCAGAGCAGCAGCCTCCTGCCTGCCGTGACCTGTCAAGGCTACCAGCCTGCAACCATGCAGGCCTCTCAGCGAAACCTGTCCCTTTCCCGTTCCCTCATAAACCTGCCCTGTTTTTTGTTTTGTTTTTTTGTGGGACCCTCGCCAGCGGCCGGGGAACGAACAGGCGCTGCAGAGGCTGTGGGCAGCCCCTCAGCCCAGCGCTCAACCACTGCGCCAGCAGGGGAGGCCCTAAATCTGCTCTTTAATGTAACTAGTGTCTCTGTCTCGTGGAGAAACGTGGCTGGGGAACTTGCTGTGTCCCGCTGTAACAGGAGCTCTGGGGGCACCTTTCCCAGAGTGACCCCCAGGAACCGCACGCACTCTACAACCTACATTTTGGTGACCGTGAAGGGACTCATCACGTCATCTGGTGCCAACATCACATCCCCAGCTGGGAAGGTGACCCGCAGGGCACCGCAGACCTCTCCTGTCTCCCCGCTGCTCCCCTCAGCAGTGGATTGCAGTCAGTCCACCTGTCCTGTTCCCCATTCTGTCTCTGGTGAAACCCCTTAACCCCACCCCCACACCTCTGGCTGCACCCCAGCTCTTATGTTTATAAGTAAAGAAATCTGTTAAAAAATAAGTAAAAATTGGCCTTCCTGGTGGCACAGGTGGTTGAGCGCCGCACTGAGAGGCTGTCCGCAGCCTCTGCAGCGCCGGTTCAATTCTGGCCGGCCGGCGAGACTCCCACATGGCGGGGCAGACCTCTCCTGTCTTGCCTGCTGCTCCCTTCAACAGTGTATATTTTGTCAGTCTGACTGTTCTGTTCCCTGCTCTGTCTCCGGTGAATCCTCTCACCCTCCAGTGCATCTGGCTTGTACCCTGGTTCTTGTATAAAAAATAAATAAATCTTAAAAAAAATAAGTGAAATAAAAGCACGACTAAAACATCACTTACCTGCAGATCCGGAAATGGATCCTATTGCAAACATTACAAAGCAGCTGCTATTCAAAATACATTGTGAGAAAAATGAAGGCTCTCGGCTCCACATAGAATGTTTTTCGTTGCACATCATGGTGCAGTACTATACATTCTGGCCCAGACTCTGACATCCCTGAGTCTGTTCTGTGGTTTGGTGTCATATTCAGCCTTGAGCTGGAAGCCTGTGTTTATTTTGGGGGCTCAGACGGGTCTCCTGGGGACTGTGCAATCTTGGCTTTTGTTTCCTGAACCGTGGCTGGCCTCTCTCTGCCTTTGGATTGGTGAGCTCTATAGAGGATCGTCTACTGCCACTTTCACTTTAGTTTTCTGATTCTATTTCCCTGCTCAGCTTTTTTCTTTTTTTTCTTTTCTCTTTAAATTATACAGGGGATCTCTTGTAAACATTTCTTTCAGGGAAGATTTGTTAGTGGACCAATTCTTCAGCTTTTGTTTGTCTGGGAAAAACATTTTAACTCTCTTGTCTCTGTAGGAGAATCTTTGTGACCCGTATATTTTATTTCTATTCTGAATGCGTTATTTCATCCTCTCCTTGCACTACAGTCCTCCAGAAATGTAAGTTGGGTCCATCCCCACATATGCACGGTCCATGACAGAAACTTGTTAAGAGGTGCTGGAATCTGGACCTCATTCTGGTGTGGTTACCTGAGCGTTCTGAAAGGATAACTCTACAAGACTTTCCATGAAACCAGCATCAGGAACATCATTGGTACACTCTACCTATAGACTAGAGAGAGAGAAATTGGAGAAAGATGAAAATTTCCATAGAAAGCAGTCCAATAAATCCAGAAAAGAAGAAACTTATCATATAAGGAAAAGAGAGCCAAGATCACCCATTTTCTGGGGCACAAGGACCATAGGGAAAGCTTTTGGTATGGGGACCTGGCAAGACTCTTGTGTATTGCCAGAGTGCTATGCAAGAAATCCCAGGTCCAGACATGCAAATGAGCCCTCTTACTTTCCTTTTGCTTTGTGAAATGAATGTGTATATTATTGTAAAATAGTCTCCTTTGTGGGCCTCCCCTGGTGGCGCAGCGGTTGGGCCCACAGCCCACAGCCCGCAGCCTCCGCAGTGCTGGTTCGATCCCCGGCCACCGGGAGGGTTCCACATACTGCACAGACCTCTCCTGCCACCCGCTGCTCCCCTCAGCAGTGTACTTCCTCAGCCTGCCTGTTCTCCTCCCCGCTCTGGCTCTGGTGAATTCTCTCACCCTCCTGTGCTTCTGACTGTACCCAGTGCCTGTATAAATAAATAAATAAATCTTTAAAAAAAGTCTCCTTTGTACTCACTGAGTATTTCTGCTGTGAGAGAAAGATGAATACGTCAGGGGCTATCAGCAAACATTTCCTTTTTAAAGCCATTTCAGTGACTCATACAGGGCTGCCACCATATAAGTCCAAATGTGGCATTTACTCTATGATGCTAATTAATTTCATGCATGTTTGCCTGGGGCATTATTTCTTTTCCCTGGATGTTCCTATAAGATTCAGAATTGAGAATATTATTCATTGTACATAAAAATATAAAGGGTCTTTGTAATGCAGTCAAATATAAATGACATTTTAGGGTATCATCACTGTGAATGTTACATGAATCTCAAAGTCAAAAATCTGTTCACCTTATTAATTCAAGCATTAATTCAAGCATTCACCTTAATTCAAGCATTTTTTTTACATGGATATAGAATATTGAGTTCAATTCTTTCCTGTTTAGTGAGATGAGCTCTATATACTGACCTTGTTTTTGCAGATTTATTTCATTCTATTGTTCCTAATATGAGTTAATTTGCATTTTGGGGCTTTATATGTACCTAGTTGGCCAGAAAATTGAGCAGGCAAAAATATAAACAGACCAAAAAAACCCACAAAACCTGCAACAAAAACACCCTCTTACGTTCAGAACAATTTAATAGCAATATTTATATTAAAGACAAGAAGCTACCTATAAATCCTTGTTCATTCCATAATAGTTATAGCCTGAAATTAGTGATGCAAAAGTAGCTTTCCCAGTTCCTGTGCAGTTATGAGTGATCATGTGACTCGTTCTTCCCAATACAAAGTGAACAAATGTGACAGATGTTACCTCTGGACATGGTAAGAAGCTCATGTTCCTTCTCAATGACCTCTTAGTCCACATCCAAAGAATTGATGTAATATACTATGATATTATCTAGGATAATTGATCTGTGAGCCAGAGGTTGCTAGTATACTTATAAGACCAAGCAGGAAAAAAATGGTTCAAGAGAACTGTTCTAAGAAAGAATTCATAAGAAAGAATTTTTTATTCTGTTGAACTGTTGCATTTGGATTTAATGATCACCACAATCTTGTGGGTCTTCACTAATCTTTACAATATATATACTTTTTGCTATTGCTTACAAATCTTTAAGATTTCCAGAAATCCCAGTCTATGTATCTCCCTAGGAGCTTCTGTAACTTCACCTACTTTTCAATCAAGTGCACATACTTTGTGGGTATTTTGATGTGTTAAAGACTTTACTTGGGGGTGGGGGCAGAATGTCATACATATTGGTACGAAATGAAATTTTTACTGGAATGATAACTATGACATTAACAATGCATGGCGGTAAGTAGTGATTTTACCACTTCTAAAAACAGAAATACATCCCCTTAAATTTAGCCAATATTATTTGTTGTGCCCATGAACATTATCCAACAGGTTTGATGACACCGCACTTCCTGCCTTCATATTCAGACAGTGAAAGCTGTATCATGGGACAAGTGTTTTAGATGAAAAGGAACGGGTAGGAAATAAAAGTGTAATGCAAATCTAGACCCATGGTTGGATAGTTGACAGCTGCATGTCTGCAGGGAAAAAAAAGAGTCAATATTTTCTGTGAGGATAGATTGAAATGGGATTGAAGTACAGCTGGATTTTATCTGATGCTCCGTAACAGTACCCATTTCTCTCAGACGTAAAAGAAGTATCTGGATGAGTCTGACGACTTAGACTATTCAGTAATCACAAATTCTATCACTTTTCTTTGTATATAAATATTGATATTTTTCATGTATCTAATGTGGCATTTCAGAAATAAGAATGTGTTGCTTTGTACTGTTGTGTGATGACTTCTTTAAAACCTTACCAAAATGATGTACACAATTTTTTTTGTACTAGACAAAGAATTTTATTTTTATAAGACTGAGAAAGATATGACCCCGTGATCTCAAGTACTGTGAATTTTGAATGGTACTACACTCAGATTTTTCTAGAAATTTCCTAATTATGTTTATATATTACCTTGATCAATATGTTTTCAATATTATGCAGAAGAAAATAGACCTTTTATTTACATATATATAAAAAATATACTTTTCAAGAACCTATTAACTGTTCTTCCATCAACATTCAGTTAATCTTATTTATTCAATAAATTCAATCCCCAAATACTTTTTTTGGTTTTATGTTTGTCAGGCAGAATCGTATGTTCATTTTTATTATATTCCTATGTATAATGTGAAAGTTACTGGCAGAATGCAGAGGTAATTCATATGAGGAAAAGTTTTCTGGGTGGGGAGCATGGGGTGAGACATTCTGATTTAAAAAACACAAGTGTGGACTCAGTGGTTGAGCGCTCGGTGACTCAGTGGTTGAGCGCTGGGTTGCGAAGCTGCCCGCAGCCTCTGCAGTGCTGGTTTGATCCCTGCCTGCTCCTGGGCCACCAGAGGAGGGCCCCACATGGCATGCAGACAGACCTCTCCTGCCGCCCGCTGCTCCCCTCAGCAGTGTACTTTGGTCCTTCTGCCTGCTCTGCTCGCTGCTCCGGCTCTGGTGAGTTCTCTCACCCTCTCGTGCTTCTGACTATACCCAGTGCTTGTATAAATAAATAAATCTAAAAAAAAAGAAAGAAAGAAGAGAGCTGGGCTTGAGTTCAGATCTTAAATAAATAAATAAATAAATAAATAAATAATAAAAAACACAAGAAACTCTTAGTGTCATCCTGCAAATGCTGTGAAAGCTAAAAACAAGGATTATGTTGCTATACATTACTCTAAGGACAAAGACTGAAATTTAGCCTGGCCCACAGACCCTGGATCATCTATACTCCATCCCTCTTCCTTTAAATAAACAGAAAGATATACCCAGCTCATGGGTTGGAGGAGTCAGCATTGTAAAAATGGTCATCCAACCCAAAGCAATTTAGAGATTCAATGCAATCCCAATAAAAATCCCAATGGCGTTCTTCAAAGAAATAGAACAAAGATTAATGAAGTTCATCAGAAAGCACAAAAGACCCCAAATAGCCAAAGCTTTCCTGATATCAAAGGGGGGAAATGAAGGTATCACACTTCTGATTTCCAACTATATGCTAAAGCCAGAGTAGTTAAAGCAGCATGGCAATGGAACAAAACCAGACACAGAGACTAATGGAACAGAATTGAGAGCCCAGAAATAAAACCACATTTATGGACAACTAACATACAAGACAGGAACAAAGTCCATACACTGGAACAAGGAAAGCCTCTTCAATAAAGGGTGTTGGAAAAGTGGACTGCCACATGTAAAATGATGAAACTAGATCATTACCTCACAGCACACATGAAAATCAATTCAAAATGGATAAAAGACTCAGATATAAGACCTGAAACCATCAAACATATAGAGAAAAACCCATGTAAAATGCTCCCTAACATCAATCTCAGAAACATATGAAGGAGAGAGGAAACAACGGATACTACATCAAACTAAAAGTTTTCTGTACAGCAAAAAAGACAGTGACCCAAACAAAGATACACCGTCTGAATGGGAGAACACACCTGCACACCCTACCTCTGATGAAGAATTCATATCAAAGTTCACAAAGTACCTATACAAATCAACAAAATGAAAACAACTGAATCAAAAATGGGAAAAGGATCTAAACAATCACTTCCGTAAAGAAGACATGCAGATGGCCAACAGGCACATGAAAAAAATTCTCTTTCTCATTTATCTTCAGGGCAATGCAAACCAAACAATCACAAGACACCACCTCAGACTTGTGAGAATGGCCCACAGTTAAAAAACACACAAACAACAAGTGCTGCAGACGATGTGGAGAAAAGGACCCTCTTACGCTGTTGGTGGGCGTGTGAATTAGTCCAGCCACTATGGAAAGAAGTGTGGAGATGCCTGAAAAGACTGAAAATGGATCTTCCACATGACCTAGCAGTTCCACACCTCGGTATCTACCCAAACAGCACAAAAGAGGGGCCTTCCTGATGTTGCAAGGGGTTAGCCTCAGCACTGTGAAGCTGTCTGCAGCCACTGCAGCACAAGTCACCCTGGCCAAGGAGGTGACCCACTAGGCACAGCGGACCTCTCCTCTCTCCCCGCTGCTCCCCTCCATTCCCCTCAGCATTGTACCTGAGCAGACCCAGCTGTTCTGCTCCCCACTCTGTCTTGGTTTGTACTGTCACCTGTGCCTTCCACACCTCTGGCCTGCACCCCAGCTGCTATATGCATAAATAAATAAATCTTACAAAAAAAACAAAGAGCACAAATGCACTAATCTGAAAGGAAACCTGTGCTCCTATGCTCACTGCAGCACTATTTACACTAGCCAAGATGTGGAAACAACCTATATGCTGCAGGACAGATGGGGGGAACATGATGGGGTCTGTAGACACAACGGTATACTACTCTGCGATAGAAAAATGATAAACTCAAGCCGATTGCAGCAACATGGATGGAGCTGAAGGGATGACTCTAAGCAAAGTGAGCCAGAAGGAGAAAGATAAACACTGGATGGTCTCACTTACATGTGGAGTCTAGACAAACCAAACACAGAATCAGACAGAGACAAACTGTAAATGGACCCTTGACAACACACTGTGAGTCTGAGACGCTCAGGACCGTTAGGGAGAGGGGGAAGAAAGGGCGACAGTATAGAAGTGGGGGCAGGAGGAGCGAAGGAATGTGGGGCTAGCAAGGAAGGGAGGACAGGAGGACACTTTTCAAAGAGCACACGGATCATCCTCTAGGATCAGTCACTTACTGGGTCACAAGACAAACAGCAACAAGCACATGAAGACTGAAATCATACCAGGGTGTTCTCTGACCATAATGGCATCAAGCTAGAAGTCAACTACGCAATGAGCATGGAACCCCCACTCTACATGGAATGGAACAACACGCAACTGAGCAACCACTGCATTCATGATGACATCAAAGAAAAAAATTAAAAAGGGCCTTGAATGACTGAAAATGAGGAAATAACTTTTCAGAAGGTCTGGGGAACAACAAAAACAGTATTAAGAGGAAAGTATAGAATAACTCAGGCCCACATCAAGAAACAAGAAAAACAAACAAACAAACAAACAAAAAAAAACCCTGATCTCCCATCTCGAAGAACCAGAAAAAGAACAAAAAACCCCAAAAAGCAGTAGGAGAAGGGAAATAACAAAAAAATAAAGCAGAACTAACTGAAATAGAAACTAAAGACAGTCCAACAGATCCATGAAACCAAAAGCTGGTTCTCTGAAAACATAAGTAAAATGTACTAACCTCTAGCAAGACTCACAACAAAAAAAGGGAGAACAATCAAAATAAACAGGACCAAAAATGAAAGAGAATAAATCAAAACAGACACCGTGGTCAGGAAAAAGACACATCCTGGGTCACACAAACACACAATCCGAGATCATAAATTCTGAAGCTAACAAACAGTGGCACCCAGCATCTGGGAGGTGGCCCACCTGTGTATGAAGACAACTTGGAAGTGGGCTGGCATCCTCTACTCAGGGGAAAACCATCAATGGGTTGGAGGTGAGGAGGGTGGGACACACTTCCTGAGAAACTCTGGCCAAAGACAAGGTATACAGAGAGATGGAAGTGGCGGTACTGACATAGAGCATGACTGGCCGGGATCCCCAATATCTGACATTATCTTAAAAATCAAGGACCAGGGAAATAAGCACATGCCAGGGCTGCATGGTGCCTGGGGACCGGCTGCTTGGATGAGCTCCCCTTCTGGTGAAGCGCTGACTCATGGCAACAGGAGCACCCCGACTGACCTGACACCCTGGGCAGGCTGGCTCCATCCCGGGCTAGAGGATTTCTTCAACACGGCGAGGTGACAAGTACTTGGTCTTTCTTTTATTAAAATAATTTACTTTCTGCTCCCTAGCATTACTAATAAAATATCTTAAATGAAAAGAAAGATCAAATGTCAGCATCAAGTAACAGGAAAAAAAAATGAAGTTTCGGGCCTCCTTGGTGGCCTAGGGGTTAAGCCTCAGCGCTCCCACTGCAACCGCCCACCGCGATGGCCTGAGTCCTGTCCCCGGCCAGGGAGCTGACTTCATGGTGCAGCTGACCTCTCCCGTCTCACCGCTGCTCCCCTCAAGCAGTGTATTTCAATGATCCCCTTTTTGCTCCCCACTCTGGGGAGTCCTCTTACCCCCAACTCCGGCCTACACCCCAGTTCTATATGCATTAATAAAACTACATCTATAAAAAAACTCAAGCTTGAAGGGGAGTTGGGGTTTCAGAGGATTATACTCACTGGGCAGCAGGCTGAGCACCCAGCAGGGCCTGGCCGCCAGGCCCAGCACAGGAAGGTGAGGGGCACGCGGCCTCCCCTCTTCACCAGGTAAGGACCGTGGAGGGCAGCAAATCAAGGGGAGCTTACAGGTTAGATTTCAACCTGCTGCTTACCAGAGGCTGACACCGCGGGCATATGCATCGGGTGTGGGGTGTGAGCCAGTGTGGGCCGCGGAGAGGACATTCAGGCTCCGCAAGGGCCCCTTTGACAGGAGGACTGTCTTTACTGGGCGTCTCTGGAATCAGACGGGGGGCTCTGGCGGGCGGGTGGAGGTTGCCCTTTTGCAAGACACATCCCGGGAATATAGGGACACCCCGTCTTGGCGAAGGCTCCGGGTTCTCACCTGCGTGCGCTGCCCAACCTCTCCATCCCTCTCAGAGGCTGTGGCTCCTCGCGAGGCGCCACCCCCGCCCCGGCTGCTGGGCTTCCCGCGCCCCCAGCGCTGACCCCCGTCCTCCGCCCTGTCCACAGTGAAGATGTTACTGAGGAGGGGCCGAGGCCATGTTGGCGGCCAATGTTTTCCTGGGGCTCCCAGGGGGTGCGAGGGGGAGTCCATGCTGGCCCAGATGTGCTTTCTCCCACCCTCTGGCCTTTATCACAGGTGTCCGTCAGGAGCCACAGGGCAGCGGGGATCACTGTCCCTCCATCCAGGGTCCTGGTGCGCCCAGGGAGCCCCCAGTGGGCGCCAGCAGGGGTCACGGGCCGGCCTGAGGAAGGGTGACCCAGGTGGGGAGCCTCACCCGTGCGGGGATCCAGGCGAGGCCCAAGCCAGCAGACCCATCCCCCGAGCTCCTCTCAGCCCCCTCCCAGCTCAGCGCCCCTTCAGGGGGCGCAGCAGGGGCCTGGACCCCCCTTTGCAGTCAGGGCGCTGTGTGTCCCCGCCATCGCGCCAGCCAGGAGACGCAGGCGCGGCCAGAAGCTGGGGGGACACAGTGGCCCCACGTCCTGGGTCTCCAGGGACCGTTGGCTCCGCCTCCCCCGCACCCCACCCCCAGCCAGCAGCCCAGGTCCGGGTCGAGGCCCCCTGCCCCTGTGGGCCATGCCACCGGCTCCGGGGCCCCGCGCTTCTCTGCCTTTGTTCCCCCAGGACTCTCCAGCGTCCCTCTGCCCCGTTCATGGGCCCCCCTCTAAGGGCTGCACCTCCTCACATGGACACGCGGGATCCCCACCCGCCCCCAAGGGTCTCCGTGCTGGGCAACAGGGTCGTGCATAAAGATTTTTATCCCTATTTCAGCATTTCCTCAGGTCATTTCCTGAAAATACAGAACTACTACAACAGGCAGCAGAGACCGCCTAAGCCCACAGTTCTCTGTGGAATGGTGGAGCAGCGATTCTCTCCTCAGGAGTGAACGAGAGT